TTTGCTGCCCTCCTGCCTGCTCAAGTACAGGGCATGCTAATCTTTGAGGTCCTGTCTCAGGATCCCATTTATCAACTACGGGGGTTGAGGGCCACTCAACTGTCTCCATAGGTGGAGCTGTTGGTTGGATTACGCCCTCTGGTGATAGAACAGAGTTAGTAGCAGCCTCCTGTTGTACCTTCCCCCCTGATAGCTGTTTCTCCTCTAAGCTTTCTTCCTTTAAATTTTCTTCCTCTGTCCGACTAGCTCGAGAGAACTTCTCTTTTGCTTGATCTAACATGTTTTCTACCATAGTCTGGACCTCTAACAATTTACTTAACATTCTTTCAGTTTGTTTTTTACTAATTTCTAATCTACTATAAAGATAATGCAACCCATCAAGATAACACAAAACAAAACCGAAACAGAATGAAACAAAAACGGAACAAAAAATTGTTGTATCAATTTTCCTATTTTCTTGACATGTGCATTTGTGGTCTATTTCTATCTCTTCCTCAGGGGCGAACAACTTCAAACCTTGAGCCAACCATTTTTCCCAGTTTGCCTGAGAAAGTTCTAGGGATAGGCAGCTTGAAACAAAAACAAAACAAATCAAAACAAGAACACATTGTTTTTTGAAATGGTCACCCATTCTCTCGCCTTCCCTCAGGGGCGAGCAATTTCACTTACCTCCAAGCTTCAGGCTTTCCCCGTACGGGCCACCAAATGCCGCAGTCTGGCTGGGCACAAATCACGAGCCACTGAAGCAGGAACAAACTTTACTTCTGAACTCCACCAGCACACTCCACACATGCTCCTGGCAACTCCCCCGAACGCCACGCCGCCTCCCCAGGAACCAGCAACCGGAAAATCCCTCCTCCGGCACTTCCCCAACCAATGGGAACTCTCCGGGAATCCCCGTGAGAGCTCAAGGGGAACTCAACGGGAACTCCGCCAGAACTCAAAAGTCATCATCTTAATGGCTCGCTAGTGTCACCTCTCAACCACTGCTTCTGGCAAAAATGCCATGCGTCATCCCGACTCGGCTGTGGCCCTCAACAAACAATTTAGTAGGACTGTATCCTGGACTATAACTCGTGCAAGTATTCTTAGTTATTCCCCTTTCCCATCCCGTTTAGAAGAGACAATGCTAAGGGGCTGGATGTACAGCAGCCCTACCCCTAGGACCATAAAGCCTGGGTAGAGTGTTTGGTTATTTAACAATTTTTTTTCTTTTCCCTTTCCCTTGACAGAAATGCAGGGGAGTTTTCTTGGCTCTTTACACTGAGAACCTGGTGGTGCTCTTGGAGGGAAGAGCCACAAAAGGCTGGGGGCTGCCCTAAGACTCTGGCCCCCAGGAATTTCTCCCTCCACACTCGGCTTCTGGCAATTCACCAAACTTACAATTTAAATGTCCCCTGTCTATGGCTGTGGTGGCTTCTGCCCCAGGTAGCTCACCTTGGCTGAGATTTATCAGTCTCTCCAGATTTGGGGTTGGCAGTTTTCCCCTGAGACCTCAGTTCTTTCATAGATACAAGAAAAGCCCTTGATTTTCGGTTGCTTTCTTCTTGTTGTAGGAGAGGAGTGATGATTTCCAAGGTTTTTGCACTCAGAGCCGAAACCAGCAGACTAGTGAACTTTCAGATCTCTGTTACGTTTAGATATGTCTCTTAACAAATTTTTTTTTTTGTTTTAAAATTTTGGTTTTATCGTACTATTATCTTATAGTCAGAACATGTAACCTGGAAACTTTCTCATTATTAGTATTTATGGAATTTAATTCAGAGCAAGAAACATGGTATGTTCATAAGTGTTTAGGATCAAGAGTTATTTATAAGTCAATCTTGCTAATTTTTGAAACATATTCTGCACATCTTTGATCTTTTTTTATGTACGAGAGGAGTTAAATTGGAAGTGAAATTGTTTTTAGCAATCATGACAGAATGTCTATCTTTTAAAAATCTTTTTTGCATTTGCCCAGTGGAACTTGCTCAGCTTTTGACTGTTAACATTTTTAATGTTCCCTAATCTTTGTTGTATCTCTTGTAGTTAGATTCTATTTTGATCATTTATACTTTAAGATGGAAATTAATCTGTTTTAAATGATATATTTTCCTATGAATTTTTTTGGTCCTTCTTATAACTTATGTCTCTTTTGTTTTCTGCATTAGAGAAAACAACATGTTCATTTTTTCATTATTTTGTAAGCTTTGTAGTCTCATTTTGACTCTATTGGTTACTCTTGAGTTTTCTAGTTAATTCTCTCTATCTAGTTGGTCTATAGTATCAAATGTGAAACAATATCATTTAAATTCATTTCACTGAATTTTTTACTAGTACTCACTCAATTAAATTTTTTTCATATAACCTTAAGATTGAAATTCTTATAATTTTATTATTACATGCAGTTCATAGCCTTTATTTCTAGAACAGTGCTTCTCAAATTCCTTTAGATTCTTTTTCTATTTTTGCAATACTGGCTATGAACCTCAGTGTGCTCTATCTACTGCTTGCCCCAGTTTGTCAGTAAGAGTTGAGTAGATAATAGGAACAAATGACTCTCAGATCTCAGTGGGGTCTCACGGTGCCTCTGCTCCTGAGGACCCTCCTGCTAGACTCTGCTTCTGGCTAATGCATCACACCATCTGGAATGGCTGCCACCCTGGTAGAGAACCAGAGAGTGTCTAACCAGAGCCTGGCCTGAACTCTGCTGCCAGAGACATCGTCCCTGGAGCAGGGCAGAGGGGTGAATCTTTCTTTTCCTGGGAGGAAAGTACATCGTGAAATGGGTGAGCCTCAGAAAAGGGCATGAATGGGATATTTTCTCACTGGTTTGCACAAACACATTTTCAGACATTTCAAAGAAAACAAGTTGGAGATTGCAGGTGGTCCTGGCACAGGTAAATATCAATTTTGTCTTCCTATATGAATAACGGATCAGGGTGTAACATTTTTTGTCATTTCCTTCTACATCTAGGTCTGTAGAATTTCATAACTGTTTTTGACATTTAAGGTTTCGAAATTACTTTTAATTTCTCCCTTTAGGGCATTCTCCCTTTGTTCAGGGAAACTCCCTCCCCAACCCATTTAAAGCCATTCTAGTTAACTTTTTAAAAAAATTCAACTATCATTTCAAATTTCCAGGCTCTCCGTCTTACTTTCTGGATATTTGTTTCTGCATGGCTTTGTGGGCACAAGGTCTTCTCTTGTCTGTGTGACAGTTCTGGTTTTTAGAATTCTGTTTTCTGCCACATCTCTGTTTCTGCTGGGGTAAGTTTGTCCTTTGCTCATCTTGGTTCTAGTCCTTCAAGTGGGTTTCCACCAACACCAATGGTATGTTGCTCATTCATACTTCAGGATGGGGGACCGAAAAGCTAACTCCAGCCATCACCTCTCCAGGAGTCCACAGGACACCCTGACCCTTTTCTGACCAGAGAGGAGCATCCTCCACCCACATAGCAATTGGGGCTCTGCTGACACTTTTTCTCTTTCAGAATTTAATTTCTTTTCTAATTTCCCTCTTTGTCATTGTGATTTTAATTCTTTGACTATCATGTTAGGGGACACTCTAGCAAAGAGGAGAAAAACAATTGTGTTCAATCAACCATCTTTAACCAGAAGTCTTCTTTTTTCGACAGAGAAATAGGATACTATTCTATCCTAGTGCACGTTTGAAGTACCTTCTTATGGTGGAATTAAAAAAAAAAAAAAAAAACCGTACAAGCCTTTATATCAATTAGAAATACAGGGAAGTCTGTTAAGAAATTGCATGTGGACTGGGGCTGTGGCTCAGTGGTAGAGTGCTTGCCTGGCATGTGTGAGGCACTGGGTTCGATCCTTAGCACCACATAAAAATAAATAAAATAAAGGTCCATCAACAACTAAAAGAAAAAAAGAAGAAAGAAAGAAATTTCATGTAAGGGGAACAAGTTACCAAGTGAGACTCAGAGTTACAGCCTTTCTGAGTTCAAAAATTACTTTTTTCCGGGCGTGGTCTTACTGTATGAAAACCAGCCGTCTTAGAGGTCTCCATTACATCACCTCCATAGGCAGGTGGGATACAGAATAATGTGTCTTCATTTTGAATATTTGTACAAGTCTCCAAATTGGACCAGAGAAGTATACTGATATTCTTGTGACTGTTCAAACTTCACCAGATAAGAATCTTTGAACCAGTTTGATGATGCAGAATCTTTCAGAAGTTAGAGATGGGAGAGGTGCAGGGTGCAGTTCCTTTACATCTTTCTGATGTCTCTCTCTCTCTCTCTCTCTCTCTCTCTCTCTCTCTCTCGGTTGTTGATTAATAAGACTTGCCTTTCAGTGTTAGGTTCTGTGATACTTCATTTAAAAAAATTCTCTTGTCTGTAACTTTACACACACACACACACACACACACACTCTCACACACATACACACACACACATGCTGTATTAGAGTTCTATGCGCAACAGAAGCGATGTGTATATAGAGGAAGGGATTTATGGCAAGGAGCCGGCTCTCGCAGTCATGAAGGTTGGCAAGTCCAGACTCTGTGGTGTGGGTAGCAGGCAGATGCAGTTTTGGTTTCTCTCATTTGGTCTTTTTGTTCTATTTAGGTCTTCGATTGGAAAAGGCCCACCCACATCATGGAAGGCAAACAGTCTTACTCCTAGTTCACCAATTTAAATGCTCATCTTATTTAAAAACAGCCCCCGCCCACAAGTTGACATGAAAAATCAACCAGCACAGTATCACGTCAATACCAGAGAAGATCTTCACATTTATCAATTTGATGCTTTTCTAAAGAGCTCAGCTCAGTGTTGGTTAGAGCAGGGGGAGTCCTTTTGCCATGTGCAGGTCTTTCCCCAGATCCCCGTTTTCTTCCTTTGCACCCTGGATTGTTCCCTAAAATAAGTGCATTCGTGCTGGTCTTCCCGCATGACCCCTTATTCCACACATTGCCTCTCACCGACCTTCCTGCATGTCTGAAATCATCACCAGCCTCTTGGAAGCTCAGTATCTGTCGTATCTTTGTTTCGTAGGGTGGCCACAGAGCTCCCCAGGATGGAGTTCGAGAACAGAGAGGAGCAGGTTTTGCACGAACACCTTTTCAGGCATTTCAAAGAAAACAAGGTGGAGATTGCGAGTGCAATAACCAAGCTGTTTCCTTTCCTCATGAGCCTCCGAGACCGCGCCTTCATCTCCGAGCAGATGTTTGACGTAAGTCAGGGGAATTTCCTCAGGACCGGAAACCAGCCCCACACTGCATGATGTCAGACTTCAGGGTGGCAATGGGGACCTGTGCCATCCTGTCAGGAGGCAGTGGGAGAAGCAGGCATCACAGAAAATGTTGCTTTTTCTGCAGTAACTGTTAGTGGGGAGGTGATGGGAGAGGGCAGGCTAGGGAGCAGGAATGCTTCCTAGTGCAGAGCATCTTAGGTGCTTTATGCAAATACTAACGTAAACTAAAGGTAAATTAAGGGACCCCAGCACTGCTTCATTGCAGGCCCTCTTACTTTAAACCCTTGAGCATGAGATTTTTGCAACTCACAGGGCAACTTTAGAATAAATTTGGAAACAGACGCTTGCCGTTCTCTCTCCAAGTCATTTTCTGTTCTTTAGACATTTCTGGAGCTCTAGGTTAGGGTTAGCATTGGGTCTCCCTGGGGATACTGAGGACAAGCTGCCTCTTTGTCTTCAGAATTGTTCCTTGTCATTTGGCTAGGATCACAGTAGGAGAGGGTGATCCCTGGTTTCTAGGAGGCTTTCAGGCCAGTCCAGTCCTGGGGACAGAGCAGCGGTCATTGTCCAATCACCAGAACATCTTCTCATGGCCTATAGGACACCCCCCACACACAATCTGGCTCTTAGAGTCCCATACAACATTTGACTTTGGACACACTTTTATTCTTCAAAATGGCTTTCCTCTCAACCTCTCAGAGAGCCAGGTTCACAAAACCAAGAGACTATGTAAGAAGTAATATGTAAGTTTTATGTAAGAAGTTTTATGTAAGAAGTCTCCAAACATGCAAAATTCTTGCAATTCATGAGAGGAGGAACGGTCTAGGCACCCACCTAAGAGTCTTCTATAATCCACAAATCCATAGTGACATAATTCTCATTCAACGTTTTCCAGCATCTTCAAGAAGCTTGTAGAAACCTGGTCCCCGTGAACGCAGTGGTATATACCGTCCTCAGTGAGCTGGAGAAGACCTTCAGCCTGTCGCTTCTGAATGAACTGTTCAGCAACACCAATCTGACGGCCTACCCAGACTTAGTGGAGATTTCCAGAAGCTTCCTAAATGGTAACAAAAGCTCTCAGTGGTGTTGTGTTTGGGGTTCAAGTCCAGTCACCCATCATTCACTCTTGCTGAGGAACCATGGCATGGACACAACGGTGAAGACACCAACCTGACCTGTGTCCTCACGGAGCTCACTCAGGCCCAGTAACCCTAGGACCTGACCTGGGGGCTGTGAAACAGAGGGTTTCAGTCTACATTTGAATGAGGGAGGCATGAGCGATGCCCTTTCTTAGGAAGGAGGAAGCCCTCTCTGATGCTTATAGACACACAGTCCTATGCCACTTGCTTCTCCTGAGAGAGAAGTCACAAGGGACAGCTGGTGAAAGCTTCAGTGTGTGGCAGGGAGGGAACACTTTCAGAACCAGGAGACTGGATCATGGAGGGTGGGTTTGGAAGCCAATTTTGGAGGGCCTGATACACCCTGTGCTGAGGAATTTTAAATTTTGTTTTGTTCGGAAATTAAAAAAAGCAATAAAGGATTTTTAAGTAGGAAAAAAATTAGAAGTCAGTATGAAGAATGGAATGTGTTGGTTTGTGGAAACTATACCTTGATTTAAAATAAGAGCTACCTCATTTCCATACAATGATATATCCAAAGTCTAAGAAAGGGATAAAGGATATTGAATATCTAGGTACTAATTTTAAGTCGATATTCTATTTGTACCCAGGATCCTTCCAGTTCAAAGTTGCAGAGAGAACTGTGCATATCTCTGTGGGCTCTGATCTTCTCTGTGTTAGCTTTCCTGTCACTGTGACAAAATACCTGAGATAAACAACTTAAATAGAAAAAAAGATTATTATTATTATTTGGCTCAAGTTTTTAGTCCATGGTTGCTTAGCACTGTGCCTTTGGCCTTTGGTAGGGCAGAACATTATGGTGGGGAGTTTATTAGCGAGCAAAGAGCTGCTTACCACAGGGTGGCTGGGAAGGAGAAAGAGAGATAGATAGATAGAGAGAGAGAGAGAGAGAGAGAGAGAGAGAGAGAGAGAAGGGCCATGGCCACGCCCCCACTGACCTAACTTCCTTCCACTAGGCCCCACCTCCTAAAGGTTCTACCACCTTCCAATAGCACCACAGCTGGTGATCAAGTCTTCCACACACAGCAGCCTTGGGGGACACTTAAGATTCAAACCATCACACTGTCCATGGACTACAGGGAGCCCCCTCCCTGGCCCCTGTGCCCAGGTCTCCCGGGTTACAGGTCAGGGTTGTCAAGCTCCGCAGCCCTGATGACTCACTGTGACGGAGGCTGTGTAGGCTGGTGAGGGCTGGGGTGGCTGGGATCCCTGAGCAGAGGTTGCAGGGAGATCCAGGGCTCTGCAGGTGTCCAGGGAGTGGGTCAGGGCCTGGCACAGAGAGCCTCTCATTCAAAAGAGGATTCAGTCCCAAGATGGGGAAAGCAGAGACAATAGGGTGGAGCCTGCCATGTGGGATGCCAGAGCTCTGAAAGAAGAGAAGCCAGAGGAAAAGCCCAGACACGGTAGGATAAAGAGGACCAGGGAGCAGGGCGGGGCAAGGACCCAGGGTGGGGTTCCTCATGGCGTGGAAGCCACAGCATGTGGCAGGAAATGAGGAGAAGGAAGGCCCAGGGACGAGAGCAAGGGAAACGGGGAGAGTGAGGCTTTGGGGGACCTTGGGTGGGGTCCTTGGAATCGCTGTCCCTTTCCCAAAAGCTCACCTGTGCACTGAACGCCAGAATCCGCACAAAGGCCCGGGCTCTTCCCTCCTCACTGGGTCTGGTTAGTTATTTCCTTGTTTTTCTTCAGTTTTCCGTGAGTGCCAGGCTCTCTGGAGTTGGAGTGGAGGCGAGGCTGAAACCACAGACAGACAGCATCCAGGTGCCCGGGCAGGTAATTATGATTTAAATCACCGACTAACTCACCGATGTGTTTGTCTATCTGTATGAAAGGGACATCTCCATCCTCCCCCCCAACCTCTCCCTCACACAAACCCACACCTGTGTTCACCTGTGGCTTTGTTCCCAGGTGTGTGGGAGGCAAGCTGGGGAAGGGGCTTCTGAGTGGAGAACCCAAGGACAGAGAGTAATAGTAATAGAAATGTAGACTAAGGGCACCAAATGGAGTTTCCCCAGTAGCCCCCCCTTTTTGTAAAAATATATTTTTTAGTTGTAAACGTATCTTTCATTTTATTTATTTATTTGTGTATATGTGGTGCTGATTGAACCCAGGGCCTCACGCATGCCAGGCAAGTGCTTTACCACTGAGCCACAACCCCAGCCCCCCCCCCCCCAGTAGCCCCTTTTTAATCTAAACAAATAGAGAATATAAATGCAGTCAGGTGTCATTAATGATGGGGATATATTGTGAGAAATGTGATTTTAGGTGATTTCTTTCTTGTATGATCATCAGAAAGTGTACTTACAGCAGAGGACAGCTGCAGTGTCACTAGGCAGCATCACATTATGGAATCATTATCACACATGAGGTCCGTCCTTGACTGAAATGTCAGGATGTGTTGAGTGATGACTAGCAGGAGGCAGATGGAGAAGAAAGGAATCATTTTAAACTTACTTGCTAGGGAGTGTTAGGAATAATGACATACAGAATATAGGGGGACAAGATGGAAGGGAGTTCAAAGAATAAATAGGGAGATAATTGTGCCAAGAGGTAAGACTATCACGGAGGAAGAGAGAGAGAAATGCAGAAAGATGGTACAAGTCAGAAAGAGGAAGTTGAGTCAAAGAGATCACAAATAGCTTCATGGTACAGATGCAGTGGTGTGTGAAAACAGGGTTAGAATCAGAAAAAGGAGAGGTAGAGAGGAGGAGAAGGGGCCAGGGGGCCTAGAAAGTGCTAAAGGAAGTGAAATAGACTGGGTTAGTGCCACACACCTTCCTCCCCAGCAGCACTGCACTGTGAACATCAGAGGCTAGCATGACCACATCCAGGCAGGTGTCCAGGTCACCATCAACTACCAGTCACGTTCCTGTTTCTCTCTTCAGTGCCCCAGAAATCTTCTCTACAAATGGATGAAGGAAGAGAATCAGAAGACATGCCCAGGTTATTACCTTATGATAGAGAAGGTAATAAGAATTTAAATTACCTGTTAACTAAAGTTTTATTTTTCTGTCAACATACATATCTATTCTTTCATTTTCTTTTCTATGCTTCCATCCACCTATCCATTCATCCATCTGCCCATCCATCCATCCATCCACCAATCCATCCATCCAGTCACCCATCCATCCACCAATCCATCCATCCACTAATCCATCCATCCATTCATCCATCCATCCACCAATCCATCCATCCACTAATCCATCCATCCATCCACCAATCCATCCATCCACTAATCCATCCATCCATTCATCCATCCATCCACCAATCCATCCATCCATCCACCAATCCATCCATCCATCCATCCATCCATCCACCAATCCATCCATCCATTCATCCATCCATCCATCAATCCATCCATCCATTCATCCATTCACCATCCATCCATCTATCAATTCATCCATTCACTCTCCTTACACCCCCTGTGTACAGACAGACAAACCAGGCCCAGATTTTGGCTGCTTTTGTAAGAAGACACAAACACATAAGAAGGAGGAGTTCAGACTTGGTGAGATTTTCTTGTGTATAGAACATAAAGAAAGGGAGAATGGAAAATGCAGATAGAACCATTAAATAAATTCCCAAGTGATTGCCAATTTTACCTAAGCAGTCATGCAACTCATCTGTCACCATGTTGGAGTGCATGTTGTCAAGGAAGGAGATAATTTCCACTCTACTTTCTGTGGTTGTGCCGGGAACTTAGACATAATGAGTATAACTGCAATATAAAAAATTCTTGTGAAAGACTTTTGAAATGGACCTGGTAAGGGGAAGGGTCCCTGCTCCAGTGTCAATGGCAAAGATGAGGCCTTTGATGACATGGGAGAAAGATAAGACAGAAAGACTGAATTTGAATGTTTATATTTAAGTTTCATTTCCCCAGGAGATAAGCTCACTCATCCAACAAGGTGCAGCGTTTCCAAGGTGGAGAAAGTCATATTAAGGGAGAACCAGAGGGGGAGACTGCTAAGACAGGGCCTGAGGGGGAGGGCACCCTGCTGTATATGGTAATGGAGAATGAATGAATGAAAAGTCAGCAGAAAGGGAAAATTGTCTGCACACCAGAAAAAACAGTTTGAGACATCTGGGGCTTGAAAATCACTGGACAGAACCAACTTCTGGCACGAGGATGATCACTTTAGCAGAGTTTTCAGCTATTAATGTGACACAATACATTCAGAGGCAATTGGCCTTCCCCAGGCATTCTTATCTACTCCCACCTATAAACGAATGATCCCAAGACACATCTCCAGGCTTGTCTTCTAGCCTCCTTCATTTGTGAGCCTGAATTCATTCATGCAGATAATCTTAGAGTCGTCTACATTTAGATGCTTTTCAGGAGCCTCAGTATGAGACATAACTAAAATCGCACCTGCAACCCTTCCTGACACTGGACCTGCCTCGTGTCTGGGAGTTCACTGTTAGAACTGGTCCCTCTCCCTCAACTTAGACCATCCAGGTTGGTTGATTCTACCTTTCACATACCTCCCACCAGTCATTGCTTTCCATCACCAACACAGAAACCTTAGTCAACATTTCCCCCTTCTCTCTGAGATTATAGAAACGACTTCCAGGCTCAGATTTCCCCTCCCGTCTTGCCCCATCACATGCATTTTGTGGAACCCAATGAGAGGACTCTAAGAAAAATGTGAGTTGGCATAACCTTGCTTTCCTGCTTGAGGTCAATGACTTCTTGCTGTCATAAAGGCTAAATCCATTTTCCTCCCCAAATCTCCAGCTTCATGTCTGCCTCTCCTGCTCTTACTTCAGGGTAATGGAACTTCTTGAGTGATTTTAATTTTCCGATTCCCTCTTCCCCTCTGAGCCACTGCACATGCTTAGCCTTGCACCTGGACGTGTCTTCTTGGCCCCTCCCACTTTCCATCCTGCTCCCAAATCTGGTGAAAGCCTGTGAGGTGGCATGACGATCTCCGAGGTGTCTTTTCTCATCCCTGGTTCTAGAGAGCAATAAGATGAGAGATGGGGAAAGAGCACAAAGCCCAGCATCAGGGAAGAAAGGAACCGGGAACGAACACGGGAAAGAAACGAAGCCAGAGAAGAGCGGTCCCAGTGGACCTCATCAGCCAGGCCAGAGGAGGAAGGAGAAGAGGCAGAGACAAATGGAAGGGGTGAAAACGAGAATGAGAAAAAGGGGTGGAGAGAAGCTGGGTGGGATTTCTGACCATCCCCATCAGAGAGCTGAATCATGCAAGACCCCCCTTTCCCCTCACAAAAGCTTCAGACGTAGGCATGCACACCATTGAAGCCTCTCTCCTACAGATGGAAAAATAAGGCCCAGACATGTATGCAGGTTATTTTTGTAAGGGTGGGGTAGAAGAGGAAGAGCAGGCACAGCATCCTGGGATGTTACTGGGTGTCAGGGGCCGGTCATGCAGTCAGAATAGAAAGAGGAAGCTCCGGTTCCAGAATGGACCAGGCCCTGTGTAAGACTGTACAGTTAAATAAGTTGCCGTTAAATAGGAACAAGAAGCTCTGGTGTGACAGTGCCCGGTGTGGTGACCGTCATTACAATGTACAGTGCAGTTCAAAAAGCTAGAAGAAAGTTGTTTGAAAGGTTTCACCATAAAGAAATGATAAATGTCTGGGGGAGATATGTTTAACTTGGTTGAAACATGATGCAGTGTATACCTGCCTTGAACACTGCCTGCTACCCCATTGCAAGTAAAAATTTTATGTATGTATGTATCAATCAGAATAAATAAATAGGGGTGGGGTTGTGGCTCAGCGGTAGAGCGCTTTCCTAGCACGTGGGAGTCACTGGGTTCGATTCTCAGCACCACATAAAAATAAGTAAATAAAAATGAAGGTTCATCCACAACTTAAAAATATACATATTTTAAAAAAAGACTTTGAAGAAAAAGTGAAATAATGTTGGTGGGAGGGGGAGAAAATTCTAAGTGCAGAGAGCATAGGGCTGGAGCCACCCACTAGGAGAGCTGAGGTCCAGCACCAGACAGCTGACCAGACAACAAACAGGAAAGGGATACAGTGTCCCCAAAAGAAAATATAAAGAAACAAGAGATGGGAGGAGCCAGGGGAAGAGCAGTCCCACAGTTAAAGAGAACCACAGCTGGGAAGGAGAGAGGATGAGTGGGTAGAACCACGCAGCCAGAGGGAGAGGGGAGGAGAGTCGTTGAGACGGGAAAGAGGTGGAGGCAGACGGAGGCCCTTAGCCTGTGGGACAGACACGTGGTGCCCCTCACAGGTGGTGCCAGCACACTGGGGTGTTTTCAGACCACGTCCCCCCAGGTTCATCATTTCCTTGTTCTTTACAGAGCCCTGCGATCCCCAAACTCCCCAGGAGACTCGCGGAGGAGGAGGAGGAGAACCACAGGAGGCTTTTCCTCCGCAAGCAGGTGAGAAACAGGGCCCTGAGGACATGGGTTCCCAGGGACCTCAATAGATCTCTCCTTTCTAATCAGTGTGGAAAACATCTCCGCCCCCCCTTCCTGCCTGTCTCTCTTCATTTTTGCAAAGGTGAGGTGGAATTTTATCCATCTTCTTTTGTTTCAAAACTTCGAGAGATAAGGGATAAAGGCCTGGGACGTCCCGAGGGGAGACGGTGTCCCTGTGCTGAGAACTTAGGGCGATGAGAGTGTCAAAGTAAAGCTGAGCACCAAGGAACAAGTGCCAGGGTGATAGAATGAAGTGCACCCCAAACCCCAATATCACCAGGTCGTGACGGGTGAGGTGGGGACATGGCTTCAGCTCCTTCTGGAAACACAAGGCGCATGGACCTGTGTTTTGGCAGTGGTAGAAGTCTTGCAATTTAAGAAACTCTTGTTGGGGAGCATTTAATGAGGGCAGGGTCCCTGGTGTTGTGGATCTTGTGAAAACGAAAGGGCTTTTGTCAAGTTGGGAGAAGAGAGCTTCAAGAATGAGGCAAATATAGAAAATCATAGAGATAATCCCGGCATCCAGGAGGTCACAGTAACAGAAACAGAGGTAGAAAAGGAGAAAGTGGGAGACCAAGAGGGAGGCCCACCCAGGAGAGGATGGAGCTTCCCACAACTTTGCTGAGCTTTTCTCCAAAATTCCTCTGAAGCACAGACCAGGAGGATCTCATGGGGGTTGCTCCCACCCAGGAGACGCTGGAGCTTCCGAAACTCTTGCTGAGTCTTTTTCCATAATTCCCCTTTGGGGGTACCTTGACACCTCTGAAGGACATCATTTCTTTCTGCAGAGGGAGGCAACGCCTGTGTGGATATGCATGGGGAAGAAGAACCACAGGAAGCCCCCTGCTCCTCCCCAGGACATGCACCAGGTAAGGAGGAAGCTGATCCAGCCCTGGGTTTCAGGGTGGGGATGGCCAACACAGGCATTTGCTGTTGGCTTCACGCTGAGCACTCTCCAGTTAGTCCTCAGATGGAAGTCTTTGCATTCACCCTGGACTTTATGCTCTTTAAGAAATAAGATCTAGAGACCAAAATTAGGGAAAATTGTTTAGAGAGATGAATGAAAACAAAGCATAACCATGTGGCAAAGAAGCATTGAGGAAACCGTGGAGAACAGATGAATCAAAACACACATTTTGGGGGCTGGGGTTGTGGCTCAGTGGTAGAGCACTCGCCTAGCATGCCCAAGGCACTGGGTTCCATCCTTAGCACCATGGGAATGTAAGAAAGATATTGTGTCCACCTAAAACTTGAAAATAAATGAATATTAAAAAAATACACATTTTGAAGAGTAAAAACTGCATCCAAGGGAGGGAAGAAAGAAGTGGCAGGCTGAGCACTGAAGTAAGAGTCACAGTGTACACAGTGACTTGCGGAAGAGAGTACTCTCCAGAGGGAGGTCTAAGAAGGTCTTCACAGGAGGAGTGGCCTAGGGACACAATGAGAGTAATGGTCCTCTCTCCAGCAACGTCACCTGCATTCTGATGACAGATTTCCAGGTGCACATCATAGGGCAGGCCTGTCTTGCCGGCTCATCCTTCCTAGTTCTCCACTGGATGTCTTTCAGGAACTGAACCCTTCCCATTGGAACCAACACCTTGTTTCTGACACTAGAATTCCTGCTTCTCCAGGCCTGATTCTCTTGGTAAAGGACGAGTGCCCTGTTTCCTCTTGCACTCCTCCATCTTGCCCATCCAAGTGAGATGGGAAAGACAGGAAAAAGCAGGGAGCAAACACAGACAGGGACAAAGGAGGAGACAGTAGCACATTCACAGTCAGGCCTCTGGAGACCTGGGGGTCAGAGACAAGGGCAGAGACAGCAATGTGCTGTGGAATGGGGGAGAGAATGAAGTGCTCGGGAGAGGAAATGAACGGAAGCTGGTTCTCGGCCTTGATGAGGATGCCCGGGGTGTGTCCACCTACGGGCCAGGTGATCCTGAAGCACTCACTGGGAGGTTTTCAGATGGGGATTCGTCCCAATCAGGAGAGGCTGAAGCTTCTGAAACCTTTGCTGAGTTATTCTCCACAATTCCCCTTTGGGGGTAACTTGACACCTCTGAAGAACGCCATTTCTTTTCTGCAGAGGGCAGCAACGCCTGTGTAGATATGCATGGGGAAGAAGAACCACAGGAAGCCCCCTGCTCCTCCCCAGTACATGTACCAGGTAAGGAGGAAGCTGATCCAGCCCTGGGTTGCAGGGTGGGGATGGCCAACACAGGCGTTTGCTGTTGGATTCACGCTGAGCACTCTCCAGTTAGTCCTCAGATGGAAGTCTTTGCATTCACCCAGGACTTTATGTTTTTAAGAAATAAGATCTAGAGGCCCAAATTAGGGAAAATTTTTTAGACAGATGAATGAAAGCAAATCATAACCACGTGGCAAGGAAGCACTGAGGAAACCGTGGAGAGCAGGTCAATCAAAACACACATTTTGGGGGCTGGGGTTGTGGCTCAGTGGTAGAGCACTCGCCTAGCATGACCAAGGCACTGGGTTCCATCCTCAGCACCATGTTAATGTAAAAGAAAGATATTGTGTCCACCTAAAACTTAAAAATAAATGAAGATTTTAAAAAGTACACATTTTGAAGAGTAAAAACTGCATCCAAGGGAGGGAAGAAAGAAGTGGCAGGCTGAACACTGAAGTAAGAGTCACAGTGTACACAGTGACTTGCGGAAGAAGGTCCTCTCCAGAGGGAGGTCTAAGAAGAATGTCTTCACAGGAGGAGTGGCCCAGGGACACACTGAGAGTAATGGTCCTCCCTCCAGCAACGTCACCTGCTCTCCGATGACAGAAGATTCCCAGGTGCACGTCTGTGGGGCAGGCCTGTCTTGCCAGCTCATCCTTCCTAGTTCTCCACTGGATGTCTTTCAGGAACTGAACCCTTCCCATTGGAACCAACACCTTGTTTCTGACACTAGAATTCCTGCTTCTCCAGGCCTGATTCTCTTGGTAAAGGACGAGTGCCCTGTTTCCTCTTGCACTCCTCCATCTTGCCCATCCATGTGAGATGGGAAGGACAGTAAAAAGCAGGGAGCAAACACAGACAGGGACAAAGGAGGAGACAGTAGCACATTCACAGTCAGGCCTCTGGAGACCTGGGGGTCAGAGACAAGAGCAGAGACAGCAATGTGCTGTGGAATGGGGGAGAGAAGGAGGTGCGCGGAAGAGGAAATGAATGGGAAGCTGGTTCTCGGCCTTGATGAGGGTGCCCGGGGTGTGTCCACCTACGGGCCAGGTGATCCTGAAGCACTCACCGGGAGGGTCTCAGATGGTGATTCGTCCCACCCAGGAGACGCTGGAGCTCCGAAACCTTTGCTGAGTTTTTCTCCACAATTCCCCTTTTGGGTACCTTGGCACGTCTGAAGGATGTCATTTCTTTTCTGCAGAGGGAAGCAATGCCTGTGTGGATATATGTGGGGAAGAGGAACCACAGGAAGCCCCCTGCTCCTCCCCAGGACATGCACCAGGTAAGGAGGAAGCTGATCCAGCTCTGGCGTTTGCTGTTGGCTTCACACTGAGCACTCTCCAGCTAGTCCTCAGATGCAAGTCTTTGCATTTATCCTGGAGTTTTTTGGGAAGCACAAGGAAAAATTCTTGTGAATTCTGTTTGGAACAATATGGCCTTCATTGTTCGAATATGCGTTTTCCCTGCTCATGTTGAAGTAATAAGTTCCAAGGAATGACTCTCTTTCTCTTTTATTGTTACATTATAGTTGTGTATGTTGATGGGGTTTGCTCTTCCATATTTGTACATGCACACGATTTAACAACCTAATTTGGCCAGTATCACTCCCCAGCTTCCCCTCCCCCGGCCCGCCGTGGTTCCTGTCTTTAACTGATCTCCCTTTGATTTTTTGGAATTCGAGTCCCATTTTTATTTTCCTTTTTCCTCTCCAGCTTCTTCATATGAGGGAAAGCATATGACCCTTAACGAGTTAGACCTTTCCCCTTCACTCTTCCCGCCTATTTATGCTAAAAATTCAATATATGATTCTGATCTCTGCACGTCCAATATTTTCTCTGAACTCTCTGGCTCCACCTGAGCATACTAAGATATGTTTCAGGGTCCCTCTGCGTGGTCTGTTGTGACCTTGTATCTCTTCAGTTTCCTGGGAACTGGATACTACCCAGATGGCCCCCACAGACAATCTAGAGGAGGTGGTCAGCCAGCCACTGTGGATTGGAGAAGGCATTTGTGCTGTCTGCTCCCAAGCAACTGCGGAATCTTTGTTTCTCCCCGTCTTCTCCCATTCCGCCCTGCTGCTTGTAGTTACCAGGCAGAGGAGCCAAAGTAAGGGGTCAGAAATAAGAGAGAATGTGCTGTTCAGGGAGGGAGCAAGGTGGGAAGACTGTCCCCTGCCTCTGGTAAGAGTGACAGGAGCTGCCTTAGCCCCCACGTCGGGAGGATTCAAAGGCAGGGGGGTCTGAGGCCAGGGACGTCCCCCAGGAGTCACTTGCACTGCCTGGGGCTTCCTGGCCTTCCCGTGTGGGCTTTCCTGTCATGGAATCCTGGGGTTGAACATGGAGTCCTCGAAGGGTTTCATTCTCTTCTGCAGAAGGTAACAGTTGCTGTTTCCAAATGTCTGATGAAGAAGAGGCCCAGGAAGGCTTGGGCTCACCCCCCGCGGGTGAGCCAGGTAAGGCAGGGGAGGGGTGGCGATGGCTGCTGGGTGTTGGGGGGCTAGTGTTTCCTGGTGGGTTTACTCTGAATGTGCTTCATAATGAAATGATCCAGTTACTCTTCACATTTTCCCTTGGCCTTTTGGGGAAATTCAGGGAGACAAGAAATCTCGAGAAACTCTGGGATTAAGGAGTCTTTTTGTTTATTATTAGGTATTGGTATATGCACTTAAAGACAAAAAATACTAGGATAAGAGAATGCTCTTTTGCCTTCCTCTTTTTACCACTGTTAGTATTATTATTTGAATTCTTATAACAATTTCTGTTCCCATTCACTCCTTATCTTCTATGGAAATAAAAAAAAGCTTAGCATTTCTCTGCTGGTTGATAATTTCTTTACAGTTTTGTCACAAACTTGACAAAGCCTTCAAAGAAACACTAATGTAGTATCTAATTGATAGAATTCAGATGAGCTATTTATAAAACCAGATTCTGGTTTGGACCAGTGTTCTCCCTGTGCCATTGGATTACACAGTGTTTTTTCAGTGTGCTTCAATGATTACGCTCTTCTTCCATCCTCAAAAACTTTAAGACACAGGCAGGGAGATGTTGCTACTGTTTTGAGGAACTAGAAATAAGATGTATATAAGATGCAAGGGAGAGAAGTCCCAAGAGAGAAAAGCAGAGTGGAGATCCACATGGGCTTCAGGTTCTGAGAAGCTGGCATGAGGTTGGGCCATGTTCAATGTCCAAAGCAGAAGTCCAAGGGGCCTTTGGGTACCCAGAAATCCACTAGGATTCAATGGACAGAGATTTTATTTAGCAAATAAAGAATGCTTAGGGAGAGAAGAGGGGGGAAATCACAGAAAATATGTGAATGTAATCTACCATATGAGATAGGAGATACCCAGAAGAGTAGAGCCTGAAGAAGTGAACACAGAGGCAATGTGAAAAAGTAGACACAGAGAATCACCGAAGGAGAAAAAGGCAGATTATCATGGAGACTGGAAATGTCAGGGAGAAGATCCAGAAAGTCAAGGAGAAGCACAGAGGCCCTTTATGAGGTGTAGCAATGAAAATGTGTATAGTATTAAAAGAAGAGGGTACCACTTCATATTCAACCAAAGGCTGAATTCATTGTTTTTTAACCGAGGAAGAGTTGTGCTTATGAGTCCAGTTTTTCTAAATAGCACTCCTATTGAGAAATGTTTGGGGAGAGTGTGGAGCTCAGGGATTGGAGGACCTTTGGAAGTGGCCTTGCATGGGGACTAGCTGACCCTTAGTGAGAGCAGGCTAAGGGGAGCATGGCCCCTACATCTCTGCTGACTGTCAGAATCTTGGGGATGTGATGATGGGCTGGCTTTCAGAGGCCTGTGTCCTGGACGGAAGCTATCATTGACTAATTGGGATGATTCTAGCTTTATTTGTTCATGTGGCCAAAGAATAATGAGTTTTCCTAGGAGTGTAGGAACTTTGAAATCTGTTTCCCCATGAGGAAGTCCCGACTAAGAAGATGCAAGAAAGGCCATGAAGGTATTGTTCATAGCCAAATGTTTTCTGTAAGAGGACACTGGATTAAAACTCCTAGGCTTCTCCCCCACTGAGTGACAGGGCTGCTGGACTGAGTGTTAAGCCTATGGAAGAAGATAGAAAAAAGAGAAGTAGTGATATTTAGTAATTAGTTGATCAAATGACTAGTTCCTTGTGGTTGTAGGGCTGAGGTCACAGCTTTGCTGCTGGTTCTTGGCCAGGGCTTACTCAACCCACAGAGGCCACTCACATCCCCTGACACATGGCCCCTGCATCTCCAAGGGAGCAACAGTGTGTGGAGTCCTGTGCACGCTCTGAACTTCTGAGTGCCTCTTCTGCTGCCAGCGGGAAAACATTCAGTACTTTTAAAGGGCTCATGTGACTAGGCCCAGCCCACCTTGATAACCCTCCCCTTCTCAAGGTCAACTCTGCAATACAACGTAACTTAATCATGGGAATAACACCTCACGTTCATAGTTCCTTAGATTAGGGAAGAAAATCTCTAGGAGCCTTCGTAGAATTCTGCCTACCAAGCAGTGCTTAACAAAACCCAGAGAAAATAACTGTCTAGATGAGCCACTGATTTCCCCAAGAGAATAATATTAAACGGGACATCAAATGAAAGTAGAACATAAATGTATGAAAGAAAAGAATCTGTCTTTAGACGAGGCTGAAGAGATTATAGTAAATGGATTAGGTGCCACAGGAAGTGAAGTGTAGCTGTTCTGTTTAATGCTTGCAGATCTTAAATCACACATAGTGGAGGAATGCCGATGTTCAGATCAACTATAAACTGATCATGCATGGGAGAATTTTTTGGGAACTTTTAAAATTAGTCCTTGTGTATGTTTTTTGATCTGTCAGTCCCATTTGCAGAAGAGATCTCTACCCAGTACATCTGTAGGGGTATTACTAAAGAAAAGAAAGATATGGATTGCTCATTGTTGGGCCTCCTCCCATAGCTCTCCAACACCATTCTGCTGCTCCAGAATGAAAGCCTATTCACCACACTGCACCAAGGCTTCGGCAACTTGGGCAAATGAAGAGGAGACAGGCTGGAGAAATGATAAGAGAATGAAGATCTACAGTGATTGAATCTGTTTGGGTTTACCCTATGAAACAAGAAGGAAGACATCTGTACTTCTTCACAAGGTTCTTCTCAATGTCCATTTCAGTTACAAGGTCCACGACATAAAGAAGGAGAAAGTTCAGAAGCACACCATAGAATATTCATTACATTGTTGGCTGCTGAGAAGAAACAGGCTGCTTTTACCTATCCTGAGCTGAGAGCATCTAGATTTTGATTGGATTGTTGCCAGAGCTCATTAGCATAGTGTACCCTGACCTGGAATAGGGAACAGGAAAATGACCAGAACTTACTGGGACCTGAACGGGAGATGAGTTCTTGACAATATTGTCTACATCTGGATAAGAAGTCAGAAGGCTAATCCACCTATATCAAGAACCTTTGAGAGCAAATTCTCAAGTTCAAATTGAAGGAAATTGAATAGAGGAAAACGTGTGGGTGACCTGACTTTATCATGGAACCTGACGACTTTGATTCTGAAGACAAAGAGGTATTAAACTGGGACATTAATGACATGAAACTGCCACAGAATGTGAAAAAGACTGACTGTTCCAGGAGTGGCCAGATTCCTATGTGAAGCACATGTACAGCTCAGAGGACAGGAAGGCACAGCGGCACCTGAGCAGCTGGGCCATGCGCAACACGAACAACCGCAACTCTCCCATCCTCAAGAAGTCCTGCCTGGGCATGGTGGTGCGCGGCCACAACTGCTCTACCAAGGAGGGGCGCAAGGTCTACCTGAGAAGACCTGCGATCTGTGACAAAGCCCGGCAGAAGCAGCAGAAGAAAAGTTGTCCCAACTGTAATGGGCCTTTGAAGCTTATTCCTTGCCGAGGCCGTGGGGGCTTCCCCGTCACCAACTTCTGGAGACACGATGGACGCTTCATATTCTTCCAATCAAAGGGAGAGCATGATCATCCAAAGCCAGAAACCAAGTTAGAAGCTGAGGCAAGAAGAGCAATGAAGAAAGTGCATGGGGCACCTGCCTCTGTCTCCCTAAAGCTGAAGGGGAACCCAGGATCGAAGTCTTTTCCAGGTGAAACACAAAGTCAGGGAAGTTTACCTTTAACTTGGTCATTCCAGGAAGGTGTCCAATTGCCTGGCAGTTACAGTGGACATTTAATAGCTAACACTCCCCAGCAGAATTCACTAAATGATTGCTTATCCTTCTCCAAGAGTTATGGTTCAGGGGGAACCACTGATCTGGCAGACCCGACTTCCACCTTAGACCCCACTAAGCTGTATGAAAAATGTAGATTTTCCAGTAATAGGATCTACAATAGTGGAGACCTGTTTCAGCCTTCTGCCTCTGGAGTCTACTCAGATTATGACAATCTGCAAGCATGGAATAAAAACGCTGCTTTGGGGAGAAGCCCTCTCAATGACAACTTGTCCCCATTATCCTTTTCCTCTGACCGGCTGGCCTTGTGACTTCTTTCCTTCCCAGAATTCTTTGGAAAACTTTCCCCAGCATATTCCCCTGGAACCACCTGCTGCCAAAACTAGCTGCCACCCATTATGGCCAAATCCAGGGGGCAAGCTTTATGAACAGAAAGTGCCTGTGGATTTCAACAGCTACGTTCCTTCTCTCGCTTACCATCCACCACAGGAAGACCCCTTTCTGTTCACCTACACCTCCCATCCTCACCAGCGATGCTCCCTGCCAGGCAAGAGCACCAAGTGGGATTTTTGAGGAAGAAATGACCTATATGGGTTTGGATCATTGCAACAATGAAATGCTTCTACACCTCTGTCCTTTAAGATGACTTAAATCTTTCGACAATCCCTTCCCTCCTGCAAAAACAAACAAACAAACAAACAAAAGAAACTAACCAAACAAACAAAAAACTACTTTGAGAAATGGCTGGAAGAATTTCCTTAGGAAGCAGTTTTTAAAACATAACTACAGATAAATGGGAATCACAACAAGTGGTAGGCAAAACATTTTTCATGCAAATAATCTTTTTGCCTCCTCCACCCTAATGCTTCCATCCTCAGTAAGGACTAGAAACTTATCCAGTCTGCTGTATGAAATGCCCTCTGATCTCCCCACCCCACACTCATTGTTTGGGGCTTTTAGCACCTCTGCTACCTGTTGGGTTTCATTGTCACAGACACATATCAAATGGAGTAAAGATGTGAAGAGTCCACCTGCTTAGGATCTCCTCCATGCCTTCTTTTTCATAACAAAAAATGACAGAACCCAGAAACAGAGGGTAGAAAGAGCTGCAGAAGTATATAAAGATAAATAGTCTAGAATTGATATATTTAATACTTTGTTTAGTAATCAAATTCATTTATAAAATATGTATTTTCTAGTTGAGTTCTAAGACTTGTCAAGACAAGAAGCATGAACTAAATCCATAAAGGAGAGCAGAATTAAATGGACACATGAAGAGAATTCCAGTGTTCTACTACATTACTCACGTCCTTCTCCCTCCTCCTCGCTGACTTCACCTTTTAAAGGGATTTGATTCTGTCCTATTTAAGTTATTCTTTATTCCACCTAACTCAGTGCCAAATTCGTAATATGTAAGAACTGTTTGCTTAGAAAAGTATCTTTGGGGACTGGGCATGTTGCTCAATGCTGAGGTGTGTTTAGAACGCACAAGTCCTTGGGTTCAATCCTCAGCACCGAAGAATAAGAAAGAAAAGTCTGTATAATTAACATGGTCATGATTGGCTAGCCATAGTTGAATGCCAGTTCCCCCTCTTTGCTGAAGTGTGTTAATGCAAACAAATAAGTATTTTTAAAAATAGATGATTTTTTTTATTTGTAACAAACACACATGATATAAAATTAAAAAGTAAAAAAGAAAAGAAAGATATGTAAATATTTTGTAATTTTGTTCTGAAAGTAACAGTTTCTGGTTGGGATATGGGAACATCTGGAGATTTCCCCCCTTCTTTTACAGAAGTACTTACCAAATGTGTTACTTTCTTTCTTTCTTTTTTCTTTTTTTGGTACTGGGGATTGAACCCATGGGCACTTAACCATTGAGCCACATCCCATTCATTTTTATATTTCATTTAGAGACAGGGTCTCACTGAGTTGCTTAGGGCCTCACTAATTTGCTGAGGCTGGCTTTGAACTTGCAATCCTCCTGCCTCAGCCTCTTGAGCCACTGGGATTACAGGCATCAGCCACCACGCCTAGCTGAAATGTGTTATTTTTGACATGTCAAAAGTCCCTCCTTGTAATCCAGTTACCCTTTCTTGCCATTTATTCAGATGGGTGCAAGAGTTAGAATCATAGGGAGTCTATAAAGGAGGGGCAAGTTTTGTCAGGGAATGCTTGTGGCTTTAAGGAAGACAGTCGTGTGACAAACAGCGATGAGGCCATTGCATTCAGCAATGAATGTGAATGGTGTGGGGCCCAGGCATGGAACACTGGGATCACCAACCAGAGACTCAAAAGGAGACACATGACCAATGACACGAGAATAACTTAATCCAGCTTGCATACTACATAAATGATTTGTGGTTCAAACTGACAAGACACCAAGTTGCCCTCTTGAAGGTTGTGATGAGGAACCCAAGACAAAGTGTGACCAAACATCTTTGCACAATTTGGCTACTGTCTATGAACCCACATCCATCAGTTTGGGGGGCTGACTTGGATTAAGGATTTATTAGACCTTTGTCTCCATATATGTGCTTTGGATCACATTCTTTTCTTTTTTTAAAATATTTTTATTTATTTTTATGTGGTGCCGAGATCAAACCCAGTGCTTCATGCATGCAAGGCAAGTGATCTACCACTGAGCTACAACCCCAGTCCCAGGATCACATTCTTTTAATATTCAGAAAGCACAGGAAAATCAGAAACAGACAATACAAGACTTTTTAAAACAGACAAAAGTGAGAACAAATGATATAGTGGAGAATAAGTACATAAGTGGAGGGAATAATTGCTAGTTGCTGTACTTCCAAACCAAAATATCTAAACAAAACCAAATTAAATCAGATGAAACAAATTAAATCAGATAAATTCAGAAATAAAAGCCCAGGGAAACAATCCAGAGCTCAAGTGTTGTTAATGCTGATTCATTTGGCAGTGGACCAGGAAGACCACTGAGCTAGGCCCAGGCCCAAGAGGTATGGAATTGACCACTGTGTGGTCCAAGGGTCCCATTGGACCTTCTTAAGCAAGTCTTCCAGAGGATATTGGTGGGGACTCCAAAATATGAAGGGAGAACTCATCACTCAATATCTGAGCTCAGTATCTGAAATTGCTAAGCAAAGGTCCCATTGGAAGGTGACACTGTGCTTATGGGACACAGTCTCTATGAAACAGGAAACTGCTGATTTTTTATTGAGTTTTGGAAAAATAAGGATTTCAGGACCCAACCCTTCTAGAAGCAGGAGTGTTTATGAGTATGTTGGCATTTAGCCACTGTTCAGGCTTTTTAGGGGGTGTTGGCTGATGGCTCAATGTCAGTCCTGCAGGGCTGCCTCTGACTGGCTGACTTTGAGCAATGTGGTTAGTGATGTAAGTAGTCACTGGCCAGTTGGGATGAGTTTGAAAATGGTTCTGCTGGGTACTCTTTACTATTTCCAAAGAACACCTAGTGTTTGTTTTTTTTTTTAATTTTCTGGAAGAAAGGAGCTTTTTAAAAACAATTTTCTGGGCTACAAGTAGAAAGATAAAAGTTTTAGAAAAGGCAAATGAGGTGTCAAATGGAAAGAGCAGGGCTCTGCTGGATCTTGGGTGTGGTTATTGAGCAGATATTATTCCTCCCCCAGTTCATCTTAGTCTAGAACTTCAGTGTGTGTCATGGGAGCACCGGGACTCTTCCCTGGTACTGTCTCGGGATCCATGGACACTAATCTTCTTGTTTCTCATTAGTATCTGGTGAATTAGAAGATCGCCAAACGAATAAAGAAGGAGAGTCAGAAGAGCTTACTTCCAACCTGCTCTGCTCTGATGGACAAGGTAATTAGGACTTAAAAATCATTAAAACAGACACAGTTCTGATAAAGAGGAAAAAACATGATTTAACTTTTGATGGTTTCAAGTTTTACCTGGTGTTTAAGGCACAGAAGCTAAGAAGGGAAAATGGTACCCAGCCTTCTGCTTAAACATTCTTACCTTCCAACGATAATTATTTTCTACTCACGCTTTACTGAAAGTTTTGGGCCCTTTTCATAAACACAAGTACATATCCCTTAAAAAAATTAAAAGAAAGACAGGAAGGGGAAAAAATTAAGACTGAAAGGAAGAGTCAGATACAGGAGAATAATGAAGGGAAATTTTTCAGAGGAAGAAATAGAGAAGTGGGGACCAAAGGGTGTGGGGGAAAAGGTGGCAAGGCAAATGAGATGTCTTCAGAAATCATAATTTTGTTCCAGACACAGAGCAACCAGCACAGGGAAATAAGAAGTGTACCTGTGTCATGTGTTTCTCAAGAGATGTGCCAGGAGGCTCAGGAACAGGGGCGGACAGCAGCCAAGCGCAGGATGCCACGGGTAAGGCTGCGGGGGCCGTGGTGCGGGAGGGCTTTGGGAGGGCTTCGTGGGTACCACGGGCCCCGGTAAAGCAGCGACTGGTGATGCAGTCCACCCCAGAATCCCTCTCTCTGTGTTTGCTTGGCCTGAGGCTTTTGGGAACTGCAGGGAGGCTAGAAATCTTTATACAGTCCCATTTAACAGGATGGGTTCTGTTGCGCATGTAAGCATGATGTAAAAATGCACTCTTTAAAAATGGCAGGTACCTTCTTTACCACAGTTAAACACAATTTTCCCAGGAACCCAAGGAAGCCACCTCAACTTCCGCTGGTAGACTACAGTGTCACTTTCCCACAGCCTTAGAAAGGTGTCTGTCCACAGGCAGAGTCCTGCTGTCTAACTGGCAGGAGGAAAGGCTTCAGACCAGCTCTTCTCAATCCAGGGCATGTTTTCTACTGAGATTCTCCAACGTGTCACTGATTTGCACAGGGATTGCCTAGAAAATTTTGCAAAATTTAAAATCTTATTTAATCTGTAGAAAAATCTGAAGGCCTAAGCAAGGGCAGGGGCATCTGTTTCTATTACCAAAGAAACAGTTTTTCAAAGTCCTGTTGTGGAAAGAAAGAAGACCCAGGGCCCCTCCTGAACGCTTACTTCTCAGTTCAGAAGGTTTTTGGATTCTTTTACAAGGAAGAACGAAATGATAATCCAGACATTTTTGTAAGTGTAATTTCTGCAATTAGAAATTGTCCTAAGACTTGTTTACTTTTATTTATTAATATCTATTTCCTCATTATCTCTTGTTATTTTCTAGACACTGTGAATATTGGAAACCAAGCTACTTTAGGAAAACCCAAGAGCAAAAGAAGTAAGAATAAATGAGACTTTACTTGCTTCTAATGTTGCAGATGAGTCTTTAATGCTTATTATTATTATTATTACCATTATTACCATGCCATGGTAGACAGAATAATGGGCTCCCAAAGATGTCTGTGACTGAATCCTTGGACTTTGTAATCTGATTTCTTCCAGATAGAGTTAAGCTAGGGACCTGGAGAGGGAGAAACTATTTTGAATCATCTGGGTGGGCTCAATCTAATTTTATCGGCCTCAGAAAGTGGAGAGGCTTTCCTGAGAGAGGGAGGTGTGATTGTGGAGGGGTGGTGGGAAGGGTGCAGTGTTGCTTAGTTTGGAGGTGGAAGAAGGGACCAAAGCATGTGATTGGCCTCAGAATCTGGAAAACTCAGGAATGTAGATTCTTCCTACAGCCACCAGAAAGAGACTTCTAACTCATATAACTATCAGATCATAATTTTGTGTTGTTTTAAGTCCCTAATTGTGTGGTAATTGTTATGGAAGCAATTGAGAGCAAATCAGCTTTTGGTACAGACAGGCACTGTATAGTGGCATTTCTGCACTAGCAGACCACAGATGTGGTGGTCCTGCAAGATTGCATCACCTAGTGAAGTTGTAGCTCTCTTAGTTGGTGTAAGTACATTCTGTGATGTTTGTGTAGTGACAAACCACCTGCAACACTTTTCTCAGAATGTGTCTCCACCGTTAAGTAATGTATGACTCTACTTGGAAGTGGGGTGCAACCATAACGCATTCCTAAAAATGTGGAAGTGAGTGGATTTAGGTAGTGAGTAGAGAATGGAAGGATTGTAAATAGCAGGATAGAAAGGCTTAGAATGTCTTGAGCAGATCATTGGTAGAAATATGGATGCTAAAGTCTCTGCTTGAGAGCACTCAGAAGGGAGTGAAGAACATGGTAGAGAAATTCTGTGTTGTCTCAGAGAATGCCTAAATCAAACCCAACAGACGTTTAGTAAAAGTATGAAGGCTGCCGATATCACAGGGGAGGCCCAGAAAGGAATAAAAACGTGTCTTTGGAGACTGGTGGGAAGGGGCTCTTTACTATATAGTGGCAGAAGGCTTAGTGAAATTCTGTCCCGCCACTCTGGAAAGTCAAGAGGTTTCAAAACAGAGTTAGAAGGTGCATCCTGCTATCTTTGCCAATTATAGTAAAGTTTAAGAGGAAAGGGATCAATTGAGGGAAGAACTGCTAAAAGAAAAGAAATGAAGGCTTGGTGAGCTGGAAAATTCTCATCCTGTCCAGGTTACAAAAGATGCTCAGATTAGGAGACTCACTGTCAGGAAAGTGTGCTTTGGTCAGAGGTGACCTAGATAGAATGTCTGTGAAGCTTTTTGCTAGTGCCTGGGAAGTCGTGTAAGGTTGGAGTGTTCACTCAAAAATAGGTTCTAAGAAGAGAGGAAGTGTGGGACTATAGATCCATTCAGTCATCTCATCAGAAGTTAAAAACATATATGGGTATCTAGGGAAGATCTATGGGGTGCCTATTGTCTAATGGAATGCCCATGACATATGTGGGAGATCCCTAGGATTCTGAGAATATTGTAGCAAGAGAAACAATGTGGTCCATGTTCTGTAGAATTTATAATCTGTTACTGTAGGTGGCAAAAGGGAATTTGAATATAGGAATAAGGGCTGGAGATATGTGGCTCAGTCGTAGAGTGTTTGCCTAGCATTCACGCGACCCTGGGTTCAATCCCCAACACTGCAAAAGAAATTTTTAAAAATGAAGATAGGATTAAGTTAAGGATACTGAGGTAGGGAGAGTATTCTGGAGTATTTGAATGGTGCAATCAAATCACATGGAGTTTTAAAATCAGAGATCCTTTTCTCCTTTGGAAGGAGGGATACCTAAGGGCATAGGACCACAGGAGAACCATCAGAGAGGCACAGTGTAGCTGGCTTTGAAGATTAAGTAGGGTCTCTGAACCAAAGGTTGTAGACAGCTGTGGGAAGCTGGAAAGAACAAAGAAATGACTTCTCCACTAGTGCCTCAAGGAGGAAACAGATGCCTTCTGGGACTGTGGGACCCACAGCTGATTTCTGACCTGTAGAACTGTGAGTCAATAAGCTCATGTTGTTTGAAGACACTAAGTTTATAGTAATTCATTATGACAGCAACGGAAAACCAGTACATTCAAAAGACAAAAAAAAAAAAAAAAAAAAAAAAAAAAAAATCCACCATATATAATTATATTAGATTTGAACTTTTTTCACTGTATAATTTCATTTATATTAAATACTTAGTTAAATTATAGAGACAAGAAGAATGGTAGTTGCTAGGATATATTAGATTTTTAAAAATATAAATTTGTTTTTTTAAATGGTTTATATCTTTATGTTATTTTTTTTTCTGATGTTAATACACACACACTTTGGTGTATATTTTCCTGTATCTTTTTAATATTTGTATTTACACATTTAGAAAAATCCTGTTTATCTAATAAATCTATTCATACTGCTATTCTCCCTCAATTTAAATCAGTATATCATACACTAGACCCAATAACCATTTAATATTTTACTTAGTTTTATTTCATTCCTATTTTAATTTGCAGTGCTTTTACTTTGAGTACATTTTTCATTTGCTATGACCATTTAGTTTCCTTCTCTACAAATACCTGGAACATAGGCCTTGTTGGTATCTTATGTTGTTCTCTTTACCATGCAGAATAACTGTAGAACTACTTGTATATTTTACCTGCATATGTTGCTATATTTTGTTTCATTAGTTGTTATTCTTTTAGGTTTTTTTAATTGCATCTTTATCCTAGAGAAATTTGAAAAATTTATGTAGTCAAATCTCTCAGCTTCTTTCTTGATGGTTTTCAGGTTTTATATAAGCTTTATTGAGAATATTTTCTACCTCGAGACTTTGGAAATATTTTTATTTGCTTCTAGAGTAATTGAAATACTTAGTATGTTTCAATGTTTAATATTTGTATTTACACATTTAGAAATAATCCTGTTTATCTAATAAATCTATCCATACTGCTATGTCTCCCTCAATTTAAATCAGTATATCATACACTAGACCCAATAACCCAGTAATGTAATGGGACTCACCTTTTTGTGTCTGACGTGAGATAGTATTTATAAAAAATAACCCCAACATTAAATGTCATTTAATGTACTTTTTCTGTCATACACAGATCTGTGTCTGGAATCAACTCCGAATCACTAGTCTGTTTATTTCAGCTAACATTATATTCAAAAACAAAATGCTAAAATCTTTTCTTTTAAGATCAGAAGCATCTCACCTTATCCCTTCAACACAGCACTGGAAGTTCTAGCCAGAGGAATTAGGCAAGAAATAAATAAAAAGTGTACAAATCAGAAAGCAACAAGTAAAACTCTTTGCAGATAATATGACCTTATAAATAGAAGCTTCTAATGACTCTACCCCCAAATAATTAGAACCAATAAATGAATTCAGTAAAGTTACAGAATACAAATATCAACATAACACAGCTCAGTAGTGTTTCTCTATATTAACAACAAACTAACCAGAAAATCCCTATATAATAGCATCAAAAAGAATAAAACACTTGGGAATAAATTCATTCGAGGAGGTGAAATACTTATATACTGAAAACTACAAGACATTGGTAAAAGAAATTGAGCAATGCAGAAATTAATGGAAAGATATCTCATGTCCATGGATTGGAAGAACTAATACTGTCAAAATGTCCATATGCCCAATGTGATCTACAGATTCAATACAATTCTTATTAAAATTCCATTGGCATTTTTCATTGAAATAGAAAAAAGTGATCCTAACATGTATATGGAACCACAAAAGACCCCACATCAGCCAAGTAATCTTGAGAAAGATGAACAAAGCTGGAGCCATCACACGCTGACACACTTTACTATGAAGCTTTAATAATCAAACCCATACAGCACTGTCACACAGATACACAGACCAATGGGACAGAATAGAGAGCCCATAAATATAACCGCACATGTGTGGTCAAATAATCTTTGATAAGGGCACCAAGGGAATAGTTTCTTTATGTAGTTTACTTATCAGCTTTAAAATTCACCACTTCAGGGTAAAATGGAACAAATGTGTACACATTTAACAAGTGGGTGGTCATATAAATACCTCGACAATCAGCGTAGATTTCCATCACCCCCAAAGGTTCTCTTGTGTCCCTCTCCCAAACCCCTGGCTCTTGGCAAGAAGTAACCTCTTTTTATACATATAGTTTTTCTTTTATGAAAATTCATATAAATGGGGTCATACAATAAATAGATTATCTATATCTGACTCATTTCACTCTTTTTTTTTTAAATTTTTTATTGTTGGTTGTTCAAAACATTACATAGTTCTTGATATATCATATTTCACACTTTGATTCAAGTGGGTTATGAACTCCCATTTTTACCCCATATACAGATTGCAGAATCACATCAGTTACACATCCATTGATTTACATATTCATTTCACTCTTAACATAATGCTTTTGAGACTCATTCATCTTGCTGTATGTATCAGTAATTACTCTTGTTTTTATTGCCAGGAAGTGTTCCATTGTATGGATACACAGAGATAGTTTATCTGTTTATTTTTTATAATCATTGAGCTGTTTCCAGTTTCATCTATCACAACAAAGCTGCTAGGAACACATGCATACAAATATTTGGGTCAACATATTATTTCATTTTTCTTGGTTGGATACCTAGGAGTGGTACAACTGGGTCACGTGAATATAAATACAGGTTTGATATTTTAAGAATCTGCCAAAACATTTTTTTAGATTGATTGTTCCCTTTTACATCCCCACCAGAAATTCATGATAGTACTAATTGACCTACATATTGCAGATAGTCTTTTGTTAGTTTTAGGTCTTACAGTCTGTGGCTTTCCTTTTAATTTTCTTAACATTGTTTGTTAAAGAGCAAAATTTTAAAATTTTGATGAAGTATCCTTCTATAACTTTTCCCTTTTATGGTCTGTGATTTTAGGGTACTACGTAAAAAGTCTTTGC